GGCTCTGGGCCCTTTGGCCCGGCCACTGTTGCCGTAATCTGTGGCACCGCAGAGGGCGGTGATGGCTGGGGAGGGTCGGGCACGAGGCCCATGCCCAGGAAAGGTCACCCGCTTAATTGCCTCGGCACAAAACCGGGGACAAGGGGCACGTCTCTGGGTGGGATGGCAGGTCAGAGAGGCTAGGTAACAAAGCTCAGCTACAGTGCTGTCACAGAGGGTTTGTGGTCAGCTGAAAGGTCGGGGTTCATGCCAGCCAGTGTACTCCTCACACATACGCCTCCAAAGGCTGGTCTAAATCTTCCTCCACGGGCTGAATCTGGACTTGTGTCCAATTTCCTAGCAGGTTTCACTGCCAAAAATTGCACATGTATTTCTCCAAGCACATTGAATGCAAGACCTTCCCTTCTCCCTGGCTGCAGGACCTGTGATGGATTTGCTTATCTCAAACTCCACAGCGTTTCAACATACATAATTTGGTTAAATGAGATTATCAGACTAACTCAGATTCAAACAGCTGGTTTATTCCCTAATCACTAGTGAAAAGAATCCTTGCTTTTTGTACTCCTCCTTTCATGGAATTAAGGCTGGAAAACAGGGTAATGCCAAGTTCCTTTGAAATTACTTCCAACACAAACACTGCTAACATTGCACATGCACCCTCTATGCACATAATAGATCGTTTCTGGACCTTCACTGTTCTTGGCTCCACACTTTTCATCCTTTAACTACCTGCAACCCTAAAATATATTTATTCCTGTGGCACCCCTCAATGGATCACCCAAATAATTATTTTGTTAAGAATGCCTTGTATAGGCAATATGTCACTGGTCTCCATATATTTTATCTACCATGAGTTTCAGTGAGGTTAGTTCATGGTACTCACCTCACTGATACCAGAGCATCTCACAAGCTAAATGTGGGATTTCGGATCAATCAGCTTTCGATGTGCCTTCACTCTTAGCAGATGGACACTGCTCTGAATATCTTGCTGTTTATCCAGGTGGAACTGACTTACTCAGCCAGCACTGTTCTTTCCTGAGCTTTTAATATGCCAAACTACTACAACTGGGCATGTTAAAAGCTCAGGAAAGAACAGTGCTGGCTGAGTAAGTCAGTTTCACCTGTACATTTTGTAGTCATTCTTCAAAATGCAATCTTCAAAGTCACTCATTCATATGAGTTTGTTACACATTCCTGATATCAGTGATTCCTCTAGGGTGTGGTCTTGTCCTCTTCCTCTGGATATAGCAGGACCTTCTACAAATTTATTTTATTTTCTTCTCTTTAATGGAATCCAGGAAGAGTCCAAAGCCAATCTGGAATATTTAAAATCATCTGAGATCAGGAAGGAAATACTATCCTAGGATCCTCCCATGTGTCCCTCATCTCTATACATTTGTTCATGACAACATACCACTCCCTATTGGGGTACTGTTGTACTTTGGAAAGACTGCAGCATCTGTTCTATCCAGGACTTGGTAACCCTCTTCAAGAAGGAAAATCACACCATCTCAGCTAAAACATTTTGTTATTGGAGACACAAGGGGAAAAATACTGGGAAAGAACATCAGCTTCCCAGAGAAGAACAATTGCTCCCTGCTGGGATAAAACACAAGGCTCCTGCATGTCTGCCTCATTATGTGAACTTAGGAAGACTTCCTGTAGCTTCTGAAATGCATCAAAGAAATTCTTAATGTTGTTCATGAAATTATTATTGCGGGCTATGTCTATTCTGACAGACAGCCAGATGAACAACTATAGAGAGATCCAGCTCAATGCCCTGTCTGTTTTGTAGCGCAGGTGCTGCAGGCAAGCTGGCCTAGCTTGACCAACATGCTTGGGGTCGGTGTTCTACATACCCTGGAAAACATAATCTGGACAACTGACATATTTTAACTGCGGTTATAGGAGACGTTTAAGGTTTCTATCACACCCAAGTAGTGTAGCAGGTATCCAGTTGATATGTGGGGTAGTGTGACTCTGAGTCATGGTGCAGAGGCTAACATTGCTGTGTTCCTTTTGAGCTTTGGGGTGCAGAACTGCAGCCCAAAGTGTAGATCAAGGGAGAAGAAGGCACATCTTACTTTGTGGAGAGTGTGAGGAGCAGGCTCTGACCAGCACTTTGCAGTATTTACTGCCTTCCACAAATTACTGGGATACATCCCACCCAAACTGGGCTTAGTTACGACATCCTCCCCTGCTGAATGGCTCAGGCTTCAAGCTGTGAAATATAAAAAGGCTTTGCAAAACTTTGCCGGAGACCCCTGGCTCTCCACTGCTAGCGGGAAAGTATGCAATTTTATAGCTAATGCAATATTTGTGAAGGTAACTCAGGGAATACTAAAATACATGGGATGTCTGGCAATACCAGCTGTTTTATCTGGGCTGTGCGTCCATATTTCTATGTAACCACCCCCAGCTGACAGAAAATGGACAGCCATCTATACAGACCAGATTGACACGTGGTGAAGCACTAATATCCACAGCATAATGCTGTCCTCATTTTGTGGGTAAGGGTTGACACCTCCCATGTGGAAGTTTGGTTCACTTTTCTCAGCTTTCATTTCTAGGAAGCAAATATACAAAGTTCCAGGACTGAAAGTGGCTTTTACTCATCATGATTATGCTGGAAGGCAAGGCTTTGATTTGTCTGTAAAGACAGAAGCTCTACATTCTGAGAACAGGTATTTATTTAGCAAAGCCACCACTATGATGAGGTACCATCTCCAATGTATGGAGTGTTGTCACAGATGCAAACCCAGCATCCCAACAGGATTCCCAGCCCCCAGACAGGATCCCCAGACTCCTCCTGAAACAGTTCTGCCCACAGAACTTCCTGTACAAGGGATTCAGCGTTTTGGAATGAAATCCTGTTAGTCAGTCCCCAAAACCCCTTCAGATGTGGTGATCTGGACACTCTTCCAAGGCCACCTATTAAAGTTTAAAGCTGTTGGAGAAGATTAAGGGTATGTTTCCAGAAAAAAACTAGTCTGGGAAGGAACTTCTTTGTAGCAAATTTTGTATTCAACTAAACTCCATGGAACAAATAGATCTCCTTAAATGTCTTCTCAGTATTCCTAAGTATTATGACAGCAGATCAACTAGCCTGTGGGGTGCCTGAAACTCTGGTAAGAAACACTTTTCTGTCTAAAGGATATGTTGCTTTAATATACAGAGAGAGGCAATGAAGTAATTTAAAGGTAAAGAATTTTACATTACTCATTTATGAGAACAAAAATACAGAAATCCTCTGATAAAAATCTAGCCTGACATAACTCCTATGTAATGCAAATATATTTACCTCCTCACAGATTGAAGGTTGCACCAACAAATGAATATACAGCTGAGCAAATTTTCAAATATTAAAAGCAATAAATATCAGGACAGGAAGATAGTACAGCAACAGAGTTCAGAGAGCTTGTCTAAAGAAATCTCATAATGTGTCAGCAAATTAGACTCATTATTTTCTGTGTCAGAAACTTTCAGACTGAGGAATACTTGTCCGTACCTTATACTAAAGAGCACTTAATACAGTGCTATTAGACTAGAGGCCTTGTTGGTGTTGGGAACAACTTTTCTTTATTTTTCTATTTCTGACCTCTTTCATTTCCTCTGTCATGTCCCAACACCACAAGATGATGCAATATTGCATCACCACCTAATACTGAGACCTCCCTCTGTCAGCAGTCATAAAAACTTGTGAGTTTCTCCACCCCTTAAGAATAACCAGCAATCTTGAAGATCTGTTTATACACACTCTGCTACCACAACAACTACATCTCTCTCTGACAAACTCACACGAGTGAACAGACGAGAAAAAGGCATTCAAGCAGTAAGAGGTATTATGTGAGTTTTACATCTCAGCTTATGTGTGTATGCATGTGGTACAGAGGAAACAGCTTGCACTCCCACCCCTGTGCTTTAAATACCTATTCTGAAGTATAACAGCCTAAATCAGTAAAATGGGAGACAAAGTCTTCAGCAGATGTATCTCAGAAGGCTTCTGAACACCTGCTGTTTCCTGTTTACGAGCTTAAGTTGTTTGAAGTGAGGGATTTTGTGCAAAATCTCAATCACCAGGAGCACCAATCTATTTGGAGAAAAGGAAAGAGTGGGTATTTTTTGGAGGAGATGAGAAAGAGATAGGAAATACTCATCTTTTCCTTCTTAGAGATTTCCTGACCTTGCTCTGCCTACAGAGGTTCACAGAAATCATTTCTGGATCAGGGCACAAGGCTTCTTTCATGCCTAGAAGATCTTAAGATTCCCCTGGAGCAAGCTTCTTGCTGGGAACCAAACTCATGTAGGAGACATCTCAGAGAGGACTTAACTGACTACAGAGGGATGCAGAAAGAACCTACCCTTAATTTCTCTTCTGGATCCCTCTATTTCCCAAAGCATTCTCCTGCTTCCCCAAGCAATGACCCAGAACCAGCATTGATAGAGATACCTTTCCTGTGACATAAAGCTGTGAATGGAGGACAAATCTGCAGGCAACACTTATCTGTCAGTTACATCCCTTTCACAAGCAGCTACCATACCTAGAACATGATGCAAAAGCTAAACCAAAATTCAGCTCACTCCTCCTCTGCTTGTTGGCAAGTTATCACAAGAAGAAAAGCTTATTTTTGATACCAAAGTTACCATATGATTGTGCATATGGACAAATCACTGACAATGATGTTAATACAACTGATCACATATTTACATGATCAGTTTTCACAGCAGAGCTGTAAGATAAAGGGATTCTGTCAATTTATTTTAAATCCTTCCCTGAATGCATCACAAAGAGTTTACAACCCAATTAGAAAATTCCAGTTTATAAATTATCCAAGAAAGGAGAAGACTTCCTGTCATTGCATCAGCATGGACAATGTATTCTACAATGGTTTTTCCATTTTCTTTACAGAGAGAAACAATTACAAAACTGAATGTAGCTATTGCTGGGTTTAGGCAAGCAGAGTTTGGTTTTGTTGTTACAAGACCTACAAAGCTTCTGCATTTAATTTTTTTTTTCTCTGCTGGCACTATAGAAAATAAAAACCAACCTGAAGTATTAGATACTATTTCCTAAATTGCAATGAACCCAGTTTGTCAATGATTACAGAACATTTACATCCAACATGTCAGTATATAATGTTGTTGCTGAGCATTTAATGTGGCTATTACTCTTTATCACAGTTCTCCACTAAAGGACATAAAAACTGATGTTTGACTGTGCAGAGGATACAAAAGATATCATCTTATATTTTTTCAACCTCCAGAACTCCTTTTAAGATCATGACAGAAATTTCTTGTCATGTTTTTGTTGCAGCTCATAGATAAAGGAAATAATTGCATTTTGACTGCACCCCACAAGATTATATTAGCAAAATGATTGCTTCTTTGCATGACTAATTTTGATTAAATCAGCTTCATTTAAATATCAAATTGTGTTCTTCACCTCTCTTCATTAAACTATGGTATTCCTGACTGTTTTAAAGTTCTGGTTTTGCTATGGTAAAATATGCATTCCAATTTATTGTGTAGGCTGTTCTTGACTAAAAAAAAAACAAACAACAAACCAAATTATAATTTATGGGAAAGGGTTTAGGTCACATTTGGAAATGAACAGGAATAAATAATGTTAAAATGTGTATTTCTAAAGAATATACAACCTATAAGGAGAGCATCCGTGCCTACAGGAAAGTTTGTATTGATTTGCCAGAAAAAGCAATAAAGAAAATGAGCTGTATATAGATGAGCTGAAGATTAACTGCAAAAATGTAATATTTTGTTAACATACTAAATCCTGAAGAGAGCAAGATTTTTAGTTTACCAACCTTTCTCAAATATAACATGTATGGTAATTTATTCTTTCATTGCAAATAACACTACATTGACTTATAGCTATTTAAAAAATGTTACACAATTCTGGCTGAAATCAACATGGAACGTGTCATTTGCTCTGGCTGTAAATTATCCCTTCTATAATTGTCTTTTGACAAATGACAGTTTTTATTCTGCTGCTCAAATCTCCATATGTTTGTGCATCCCCAAATAAAGTCCACGGATTTTAACAGGATTAGTTGCCAAACTGGCTACACTTTGTGCTCCCAGAGTGATCCATCTGGGGATCCAGCCAAAAACAACAAAAAAAGACTTCCTTTTTTTGATAAGGCTTTTAAATGTCTTTTAAAGCATTCAGTAATGCTGTGCAAAGCTGAACTTCTTTGACAGATATTACCCATTGTATCAGGCAAAACCAAGTATGGAGTGAGCCTTCACTGTGTTTCTCCTATGCCGCACATACATCACATGAAAGTTGTTGAAGGTTTTTCTTTTGTTTTCATGTAAAAGGGAACTTGAGGCCAGTACAGTTATTATGATTCCTTATAGACACAGCACAGTGTAATGTATATTCATTTTGAAACAGAAATTTCTCTTTTCTGCTTCAGGCTGGTATGATTCTTAATACCATGAAAATGATTTTTTCAGTCAAAAGAATTTATTGATGCTATGAAAACAATTACCCAACCTTTTATAATAGCATCTGTACATGTAACATAGTAGTTATTTCTTTCTGATATTTTCTTTCTATGGAAGTTAAGAAAGTGTACCTAGAAAAATCATAATAATTTTTGAAGACTTTGTGGCAACTTATGGTTTTGTAGAGTGTTCCCTGAAGATGTAACCTTATCTCAGCATAGCTTTCAGGCCAGGTGTGTGTACTCTGTGCCATACAGAGTTCACCTGTCAATCTCACTGCAAGATCTGGGTCAAAAAAATATCAATATAATCATGGAAAGAGTTTTGCTGTTCGCTCAGACCAAGAGCTGCGGAGACAGAAACACTCAGCTCCATTCAGAGCCAAACAGACAACAGCCTGGATGGAGAAAGAGTGGTGAGGAGGAGTTGTTTGTTTGTTTTAATTGAATATGAATGGTTATGCCTGAGCTGCAGTTGGAGTCTGGCACCATAAGACTGATGAATTAATCCTCCTGCTGTGGGCAGCCTTGGCAAGGCCTTAGCTGGAGCACTACTATGTCCAGTTTTGAAAAGTGCTTTCCAAAAAGAATGTGGCCCAATTGGCAAGAACCTGGAAGCAAGCTACAGGAATCACAGGCAGTCTAAGGAACATGACCTAAAAAGGGAGCTCCAGGACTGTCCCAACTGGAGATGGAAAAACAGTAGGAAAACAGTTAATGCAGCAAATTCAATCAAGAAAGTAGCTGGAGGGGAGGAAGGAAGAAAACCTCCAAACCAAATAAGAGGAATAAGACAAGCAAGATGCTCAGTCTGTCGAAGACTTTGAATCAGACAGCATGAAAATCCTTCCTAGAGCAGACCACCACTCTGGAGTAGGTTGCCATCTCCAGGGGTTTTTTTGAGAGCAGTTTAGACAAACCAATTTGTCCCTGCCGTGAGGTGTGGAGCTGAAGGAGCTGTCAGGGCTGGCCGGGCAGGCGGGGGTCGCCATGGACAAGCCGGCTGTGGGGCCCTGGGCAAGGAGCACGCCAAGAAGCTGCGCCCAGGGAGGTTTTGCTGCCTGTGCTGAGACCAGGACACGTCCTGCGTGCCTTATGCCAGCGACTAAGCCTCACCGCGGCTGTAGTGCTTTCACCCCACCAGAGGCTCTGTGCGCGCTCCGGCTGATGCGGCCGGGCCACATTCTTTTT